ATACCCAGGCACTGCAGGCCGTGCTGGGAGTGGATGCCGCCTAAGGTGGCCATTTTTCCTGCTATGTCTAACACCTGCACTTTTAACAGGCTCTGCATCCCTTTAGAGTCTTAACCACTGGGCCTGCCTTTGTGACAGACACAGTGGCCACACAGGAAGCTCAGTACTGCTGAGCCAGTGGCTTTTACTAAAAAAATATAAATGTGATAATATAATCAAGACCTATTATATCGCGCCAAATGCAATTTATATATGAAAAAAGCTGCCACAATAAATGAACCAAAATATAATGTAAAAATAAAACACCCAAATCATATAGTGTTTATAGTAGCGCTAAATAAATAATGATCAATAATAAAATGTGTACTGAATACCAAAAAAATGATTGGTTACAACACAAAAAAAACGAATAGACTGTCCGTGATTAATGTGATAAAAATCAATCCAAATTAAAGGTGATTAAAAGTCAATGAAAACACATAATAAAGTGATCCAAAGTCCATAAAAATCAATTCTTCTCCTTCACCGTGTGCAATAGACTGACAACAAAGTGCTTCATAAGAATCCCCCACATGGATGTAAACTCACCACAAATATTTGTCTTCCACTCTGGTGGAAGCAAACAAGCTTCCTGGGATACTTTTCACATTTAAAGATGACTTATAGATAACTTGAGAAAAAGATTCCACTGCATCCAGATAGACCATGTAAAACAAACAAAAAAACGCTCCAATGGTGTAGTATGAACAACTAGATCCTTTAATTAAATGATTGGACCTTACTCGCAAAAAAAAAAAAAAAAAACCTGATAAAACAAGCCCAAATGCTGTATCCATTAATAAGCCTGAAGTGATCATAGACCAGGAGCTCTCACCACCTCCGGCTTGTTGGTAACTGACGCCGTCGCATCAATTCTGGTCGCCACACCGTCACGCCCATAGAGAAGAATTGATTTTATGGACTTCGGATCACTTTGTGTTTTCAGTGACTTTTAATCACCTTTAATTTGAATTGATTTTTATCACATTAATCACGGACAGTCTATTAGTTTTTTTGTGTTGTCACCAAAAATTTTTTTGGTATTCACTGCACATTTTATTATTGATCATTATTTATTTAGCGCTACTATAAACACTATATGATCTGAGTGGCTTTTGCCAGGCTAAGCTGCATTGAGGACAGTGTCTGGTATGAACACTCCTCCCTCAGTGTTGCTCCAACCATGCCTCCATGAGGGCTGCCTGAGGCAGGTGAACCAATTGCCTTCACTGGCAGCATGGCCATGTCCTCTTATTTTAAAAGTTTGGACCTGCAAATCAAACTAGATTTAAGCAAATTGGTCTGCGAACTGGGAAAACCCAACAGTTTGTTGTAAATCTCCTACACCTGTGCGTGCAAATTCGTATTGTCCACAGAGAACTGCAGAATTCCTGTGTCCAAGAAATCGGGATTCCTGAACTGCATGACATTTAGAGGATAGCGAGAATAAGCATGTGCACGCACAAGAGACGTGATTGGCCAAAGCAGCCCAGTTCAGACCATTTCTATTCTCTGATCTGAAATAATGGTAGAAGGTTTAGCTGTGTTGTTTAGCCCATAATAATGAGCAGAAATGAAGATCAGCCCTGGTTGGAGAGAGGATATACTCACCAGTTCCTTTTTGAGGTCATAGACAGTTTCACTTACTCTAGTAACAGCGGAGAGGAAATAATGACTTACGTACTACAGATTACTAAAATGCTGTCTGTGTACAATTATTGCTCTATGCTACTTTCCAGCAATGAATTACAGACGTGTCTCTGAGACAAGGCCCATTAGCAGGGTCACTTAACCTCAGGCCATACAGGTTTCTTTTTTTTTTTTTTTTTTTTTTTTATAGTCAGATGCTTCTTCAGCAGAGCTGTTGGTCAAACTCCTTTCACTCTGAAATATACCAGAAAGCAGGACAACCACTTAAAGTGGACCTTCTGTTCTGTGAACAACTTTTAAAGTTTTGGATTTCCCCTCGTTTTCTTTCTTGGTGACAATGGCGAATGTGAATCTCTCCAATGAGGACAAAAACAAACGTTTCTAAACGAGTCAGAAATGAGTCTAACTATTGGCCACTCCATCCAAAACTTTAAGTGCGTTAAAGGGATTCTAAAAGTTCGATTTTTCTTCCCTTTAAAATAATACATATCATACTTACCTATTCTGTACAATCGTTTTGAACAGAGCAGTCCCGATCCTCCTCTTCTCCCCACCCTTGCCTAGTGCCCCCTCAGCAAGCTGCTTGCTCTGGTGACACTCATGTGTGTTTGCACCTGACCTATGGGACACACAGACCGTGGCTCAGCCCCAACCCTTGCTCACTGGCTGTGATTGACAGTTTTGGGAACCAAACACTACCGCTGCGGTCTCAGCCAATGAGGAGAGAGAACTGGAAGTGCACATCGCTAGATTGAGATTGGTCTCCGGTATTAGGGGGCTGTGGGGGGAGTTGCACACTGAAGGTTTTTTTTACCTTCATGCATAGAATGCAAAAAGATAAAAAACCTTAACCCTGTACAACAACTTCAAGGGAACGGTGTCGATGCATCATAAATGAGCAACCACATATTTGCATTTTTTTCAACTGTAATGAAGTGTCACAAGGTGATATTTCATCCCTCTTAATTCCATGCACAGGTTGTGATGAAGGTGCACTATGTTGCAACATGCTGTGCTGAAAACAAAATAGTGTGTATCCTACTTTTATTCCTTGCACACCAATGCAGCGCAATGTTGTGAACTGCTCTCTTAGGACTTTGATATGCATTGCTAATGCAATAGCCAAGGCTGATCATTGACAGGTAAAGTGATAACATTGATTATCTTGCTACAATGGCATCTAAAACTGGGTGTGATATAATAAGCAGGCCATAGACAAACCAAACGAAAATTCTTGGTCATTCGTTTTTTGCATCATTAGTGTGCCAGCTGTGACACGCGATTTTTGGGTAGCAAACAAAAGTCCCTAATCCAACATGCTGGATTTTGCTTCTGAAAACAAAACAAATGATGGCACAATCGTATGCGCCATTTTAGTTTTTCGATTAACAGAACATTTGGTTTTTGACTTGTCTGTGGCCTGCCTCAGGCAGCAAGTGTGTTGTCCCTGAAGTTGATAGATGGAAAGCAGAAAAAAAAGGGGGAAGTGTAAGGATTTTAACAACTTTTGATAAGAGCCAAAGTGTAATGACTAGATCAGTGTTTCTCAACCTTTTTTCAGTCAAGGCACCCTCTGAAATTATGGACAGTCTTGAAGCACCCCATTCTAAAATGGGGTGCCTCTAGACTGTCCATAATTTTAAAAGGGCACCCCATTCTAAAATGTGAAAAACTATTCTAATAGTTTTTATATAAAGCAGCAACATCCACATACATAGGACACCCAACATTAGAGGTGATTTATTTTTCCAAGCAAATACACTTTTGCACACTGGTACTGACTAGTATTCCAATGTTTCTCTTCTCCCTCAGTTTTTTTCTCCATCACTTAGATAATTTGACCCCAGCACTGATGGAGAGGGGTGAGGGAGGGTCAAACTAGGATGCTGTGCAGGCAACCAACATCCTCCTTATCAACTGATGTCACTGGTTGTCAGGACGCCGGTGGCTAGAAGGTCATAATTGTGCACATTGAAAACCTGTGGCTTTGTGTAACTAAAAGGCAGGCTTGTTCCACCCGCTGGCTTGTATTCATGTTTTGGACAATTTTTAGACATTTTGCTAAGGCACCCCTGAAGAAACCTTAAGGCACCCTGGTTGAGAAGGGCTGGACTAGATGACTGGGTCAGAGCAACTTCAAAACTCCAACTCTTGTGGGAAGTTCCTGGTCTGCAGTGGTAAGAAACCAACCAAAAGTGGTTCAAGGAAGGAAAACTGGCGACAGGGTCATGGATAGCCAAGGCTCATTGATGCACGTGGGGAACAATGGCTGGCCCCATGTCGTCAGATCCAAAGACTCCTGTAACTCATATTGCTGAAAAAATGAAATCTGGTTCCGATAGATAGGTGTCAGAACACACAGTGCATCACGGTTTGTTGTGTATGGGGCTGCTCAGCCACAGACTGGTCAGAATGTCCATGTTGACCCGTATCAACAGCCAAAAGAACTTACAATGGACACGCTAGCATCAGAACTGGACCACAGAGCAATAAGATGGCCCGGTCTGATGAATCATGTGTTTACATCACATGGAGTGCCTAGGTGTGTGTGACACTTACCTGGGGAAGAGATGGCACCAGGATGTAGTATAGAAGAAGACAAGCTGGTGGAGGCAGTTGATACTTTGAACAAAGTTCTGCGGGAAAACCTCAGGTCCTGCCATTCATGTGGATGTTACTTGACACTAACCACCTACCTGATGGTGACCAAGTACACTCCGCCATTGGAAAAAGTATTCCCTGATGGCAATAGCATCTTTCAGCAGGATAATACACCCTGCCACACCGCAAAAATGGTTCAAAGAATGGCTTGAGGAACACAACAAAGTCTGAGGTTTTGACTTGGCCTCCAAACTGTCCAGATCCCAATGCATTGACATCTGTGGGATGTGCTGGAAAAAACAAGTCTGATCCATGGAGCCTGAGCTCACAACTTACAGGACGTAAAGGATCCGCTACAGACAGCTTGGTGCCAGACACCATGGCACACCTTCACAGGTCTAGTGGAGTCCATGTCTTGATAAGTCAGAGCTGATTTAGCGGCAAATGGGGGACCTACTCAGGATTAGGTAGGTGGTCATAATGTTATGGCTGATCAGGGTGTGTGTGTATATATATATATATATATATATATATATATATAATAATACATAAACTGCACATACATAGAAAATTCTAGATGATTTATAGATGACACACAAACATTTATATAACATATACCATTGTATATTTGACATTCTATATGTGTTTTTCCATTGCAGGCCCATGCTGATCCCCCTACTTTCTTTTCCCTGGCTCCCCGGTCCACTCACCACTCCTGGGATCGAATGTGACCACAAACACAGCCACGATATGGTCGTCTTCCAGCTGGGGGCAGAGGAGAGAGCTCTCCGTGCGGCAGCCTCTTCCAGCTGGCCCCATACGTCTTAGGCCACTTTTCCCCCTGCTCGACCTCTGGGGTGGGACTCACTCCGGGCCCCTCGGCCCAGTCCAGCAGCGGAGCCCGGTCCGTCCGCCCGGCCATTCCGCTGAGACCAGTCAGCAGCAGCACCAGCAGCCCGGGCGGCGGAAGTGAGGGGGCGGGGCTTCTACCTGTGAGAGAGCTCCATCTCCAGCCGTGCGGATGGGGATAGACCACTTTCACATTCTCACATCACTTCCGGCCCAGCTGCTGAGTGTGTCACCCAGAGACACAAAGGGAGCTGTCTGCTGGCTGATAATGGGCCCATTGTGCCCCCCTGTGTACCAACTGCAGACATCCACTGGGCCCCCAGGAGACCCTCATCTGTGGCCCCTGGGAGCTGGCCTGCCTTCCTCCTGCCAGACACAGACTGCCTGATGAATTATTGATGAAAAACCATTACAGTGTGAAAAACACAAGACTAACTCCCTGTGATCCTGGCACACACAGAGCTGCAGCCATTAATATATTTATAGAAAGCTATTTATAGGGCTGCTTGTAAATGTCTGTTCTCTCTGGGGCTGATTTCGATGTAAATCGAGTTATTTCTATGTACAATGGAGGCCATTTGTCACCAGTACATTACAGAGATGTGTATATATCCGGAATACCCCCACAAGTCCCGGTTGTAGGGATCAGTGAAACATTCTGCTGTCCCTCTGTACAAAAAACCAAGAACTGACAGAACACACTATATATATATATATATATATATATATATATATATATATATATCGGCCTGGGCCTATAAAAAAAGAAATTCTTATGCCTTCACTATTGTACTTAAGGGATTAGTTCACCTGCACCATAACTGAAGCATAGTAAGCTGTGTTTAGTATGCTTCAATTTATGAATAAACAGGATAGCACAGAGCACTTCCCATGTATTCACTGTCTGCCCACCTTCACCATCAAAGAACTGAACTCTCAAATGCTTAGCTTGGAGATTCTGCATCAGGAAAAATAAAGTGCATTTGAGGGGGTTTGAATCAGAGAAAGAGCTCACTCCTGTGATGGTGGGGGCAGGGCCATGGATAAGGGGGTACCACTAGTCCTGCTGTACGGGGCCTAGGCCAGCAGGGGGGCCCAGGCAGCTGGGTGAATCAGGAAGGGTGATTGCCATGATGGGGGAGACAATTACTGGAACCAATCCCCTGTATCGACTGGCTTTCTCCTCCTCTCCCTCCCTCCAGCTTTTAGCTGCTGCAGAGAGAGCCATACAGGGGATCAGAGGGTAATATGCTCCTCTGCTGCACCAATCACCCTCCCTGTGCACCATATGTTTCCCCCTACTGCTCAGGCCCCCCCTTTGTCCCCCCACAGTGCTGCCAGCTTCCCTCCTCTCCTTCCCACCAGCAGCTGCAAGCACACAATAGGATCCTTCAGGATGGAGAGTGGGGAAAGGGTCCAGTAAATAAGTCACATTTACTAGCCCCTTCCTTTTCTGAATGAACACAATGAGTGCCCAGTACCAATCACTCACTGTGTTCATTCTAAACTGAAGCATAGTAAACTGTTTTTGCACAAGCGCGCTCCCAGCACAAAAACCGGGGTGTCACTGAGATCCCTGGGTCCCGTTCTAATGATCGGGACCCAGAACTCCCTTATCCGGGTCACATGATCGCAGTGATAGCCTCTGATTGATCAGTCACTGTACAGCCAGCCCACCTTGTTTTTTTTTTCTCTCTGAAAGGAGGAAAGAGATACATTGTATCTCCCTCTCTCTCCTTGCATAGAGGGGAGGAACGGTTTGTTAAAAAAATAAATGAATAAATATTACAAAATAAAATAAAAAATAAAGAAAAATACCTAGATCAAGGTTGGATCTAGTGAAGTGCCACGGTTAGTGTTTGGGTCAAGGTCTGGGTCAAAGATCAGCATTTATTCTATAAATTGGTATCAGTGTCAGTTAACCTCCCTAGCGGTATTCCCGAGTGTAGATCGGGGTAAAATGTCAGTGCCAAAAGCGGTAACCCCGAGCTACACTCGGGCTTACCATGCGGATTCCCTACAGAGCTTACCTTGTCCTTCGCTCCCGCGATGTGTCCCCTGCAGCGTCCCCAGCCATCTCCTCCGGCCGATGCCGGTATCCGGCTTCTGTGTTCTGGTCCCTGTGACGTCGGGACGTATGGGCACCAGCGGCGGCGGGAAATTTGAACATTTTTAAAACTGTCATTTTTTTCCAAACAAATTTTACATAGCAAAACATTGCTGTTTCAACCCATTTCATACATTTTGTCCCTAGTGCTTAGTCCATGGCGTCCAAAAAGTGTCCCTTTAGGTCAAAAGCGGGTTTAGATCAGCTAGAGAACAGCGATAGTAAATCAGAACCACTTACAGAATTGAGTGATAATGATTCGTGGGGAAATTCGAAAACGATTTTGCGACTTTGCTGAGCAATGTGCGAACTTGGTGCTCTATTTCAAATTTCAGTGTTTTTGGTTTGATTACATTATTGAATTAAATGTATTATTATATTATTATTTTTTATGATTATTTATTAAATTAGAATTTATGATTTCGTGTTTCAAATTTTATCATACCCGGGATGTTTAATAGACTCTTGTTTGGACAGATTTCAGTGAGTTATTCCTAAAAATTACAGCCTACAATAAAAAAAACTACTTATTTCCATGCAAAATAATGGTACCGCTTTCAGCACCAAAAATCTGAAATAATCAGACCGCTAGGGAGGTTAATGTCAGTGTGTTTTAGGTAAAAAAAAAAAATCCACACTATTGCTTCTGGGATGTACTGTGGGTACAAACAACAAATAACATACACATATATGGTATTGCTGCGATCGACAAGAGCTGGAAAATGTATTTGAGGTTTTTTTTTTTAGTGGTAGGTTATGGAAGTAACAAGAAACACACAGCTAAATTAAACAAAATATTTTTTTTTTACTATTTTGGGCCATTTTTCCTTTGATAATAAAAATAAATCAGGAGATATCCATTACCATTTACCACCAAATGAAAGCCCAATTTGTCCTGAAAAAAACAAGGTATAATTCACCTGGATGTACAAAGGAGTTGTGATGATATGTACAGTTTTACTAACACATGTCAAAGTTGCAAAATTGTGCTTAGGCATTAAGATTTGTTTTACCCTTTGGCACGAAGGGGTTAAATTAGCCTCAAAACTTGTGTAATTAATATTATGGAAGTAATATATGTTTTATGTGTAATATATGTTTTTGTATATATGACAAATTTACTTTACAGTAGAAGTTTAGTTCCAGTACAAAATGTGATTTAAGGTAACCTGTCATGTAATAGCAGAGGGCCATATGCAGCACAGAACAGGAAACAGAGGGCGAGCAGTCAGGTCTATAAATAAAGACTGCACGCTGAGCTTTGTGTCTTCCCAGGAGCTGGAAAGTGGGACGACATCAATATTCAATGATAGGTATGGGGTAAGTGTGCCAATGTAGGATCAGAAACTCAGTTCATTTATTACTTTGTCTTCAGTAACCCCCCTGGGGGAGACCAGAAACTCAGAGATCCAAAGCAGCCTTTTTTTTTGGACATTCATTTTGAAATGCTCGGCCTTGCTGCCATTCATTTAGAATGACACTCCAATGCACAAAGGCAAGCACCTGTATGTCAGCACACCATAACGCATGGCTGTGTCCAATTCTCATCACATTGGGGTGGTTTGGCAGCACCACAGAAATAAATAGGTCTCCAAGGTTTGACTCTGAATCCAGGGAGGGAGATCATTTTCATCGAGGCTAGGTTCACATATGTGCTGGTGGTGCGGCTGCGCATCTGCACAAAAATCTGGCAGCCGCACCCCCCGCACAGAGGAATGCGGACCCGTGGGTGGGTGCCATTAATTCTAATGGCACGCCGCCCGCAATGGAAATCGCAACCGTACTGGGAACCAAGGTTCCCGTGCGGGCTGCGTTTTCAGAAGTGCAGGGACTTCTTCCCTGCCTGTCACGGGGCACGGGAGTCCATTCAAATAAATGGGCTCTCGTGCCCGCACAAACCGCAGCCCGCACGGCCACATATATGTGAACCAGGGGTGAGACCACAATGATTATTTTGGCCTGTCAGTATTGTAAGATGGTTGAGTTTTGGAAGGAAGGGACTTTAACAAATAAGACCCATCAAAATTGGCAGGATTTACTGGTACCAACATCCTTTTAAGGCACAACACTATAAAAAAAAACAAAGCCTCACAAAAAAAAAACTACATAGAATTGTCACAGTATAAAACCAAAAATGATATATAAAATTGAGTAAATTTTTAAAACACACTGTAATCAGATCACATGGTACAAAAGTATCATGCCATCTGGTGTGGGTAAACACAATGCATTTGCAATCTACATTTAGAGTTTTGACAAATTTTTATCGACACATCCTGCAGATCGGAAAAGCAGTATGCTTTGCATGCGGGTTGAATCTCACAGGAATGCACTGAGCATTCCTGTGCAATTCAGATGTGGACATGGTGTGAACAGGCCCTTAAAGCAGATCTAAACCCAATCACTACAATATCACATAAACCGTAACATGCAAATGCCACTGCCAAAATTTTTTTCAGTCTTTTTAATTCTGCAGCTTTCTGTACATGAATCCTTAGTCAAGTCAAGAAAATCCTGATTCACTCACTTCTGCTTATAAGGTGACAACGGTCTGTTCCTATTTCCCACTTGTACTTCTGTGTTGTCACCATGTTGCATGTGTAGCTGATAGAGACTACACACATTGCACAGGACCTCCATTGTCACTATCAGGGAGCTGCTACAGAGCAATGATATGCAGCTGATGCTGAAGCATGTGCATGTAGACATGAAATAGCTGGGGGAGATCAGTATTAAACAAATAATGAAAAAAGTGAAAACAGTAATTTATGTTTAAAAAAAATAACTGTTTATTATAATAGTGCTTTAACAAACATATGTCATCCATTTAGGTTTAAATCCTGACTCCAACCAGCACTTTTATTTTGGTTGGAGAAGGGAAGGGGTATAAGCTCTGTAAGGTTTTAAATGCTTTCTGTGACCCCACTGGGCAGATTTTCCATCACTTCCTGTTCTTATCAAATTTGGCAGTGAGCAGGTTTGCAAGCCAAGGCGCTCAGAGATATCATCAAGGCTTAGATTAAACTTGTGATTGGGGGCAGTAAAAATAGATGATTTTATTACACCACCCAACTGCCCTTGCAATTGCAAAGGCAGGCATATGTGGTATACACACACCCCAGCTGCAATGCTTTACGTCACAGCACAGCAAAAATAAATCCCCCATCACATTTGGCAGGCAGTACTGGCACAAAGTGACCATATTTAGGTGCGTACGGTTGTGCTTCAACAGCGAGCCAAATGCTAGGCTTGCAATTGCGGCACAGTATTCCCAATGAAAAAGCCCAGTCAAGTGTAAAAAAAAAAGGCATTCAGGAGGCAGCAGTATCACCTCCTGAATGCCTGTCAGGTGCCCCCTTGTTGCTCAGTGAAAAGCAATCCACAACAGCTTGCTTTTCACAGACAACGCAAGTGTAAACAAGTCCCACTAGCGTTCTCAAGAGATAGAAGAAACTGTAGGAGACCATTTACATTTTTGCAGTATGTTAATACACGTGTTTAGGAACATTATGTCACACGTTATTGTGCATTGCATTAAGGCAACATAGTGAAATCAATATTTTTCCAAGGCACAAAAATGGAAAATTGTATGGCATACTTACCATCATTTTTTCTTTCCTGGTGGCAATCCATGGCAGCGTACATGTGGTAGTATGCTGCTATGTTGGCACCAGGAAAAAGGAAAATTGTATCAAATAGTATAATTTTCCTTTTTCTCGCGCCAATCCAACGCAACAAACTACCAGATGCCTTGCTGGTACCAGAAAAACACGACGTGGCCATAGTAGGTCAATGATGTCATAGGCATCTCTGCCCCTTTGTGACTTGCAGCTGTGGACTGGGGAATGCCACTGTTGATTGGGTAGCAGTGGGTGGGAGCAACAGCTTCCTTCCAGGTTCAGTCCAAACCCAAATTCAGACTAAACCAGAACTCTTTTTTATTTACACGCACTGCTTCATGTGAATGGACTCCCATGCCCCGGGACATACAGGGAAGAAGTCCCTGCACTTCTTCGAAAATCGCAGCCCGCGGGGGAACCTCAGTTCCCAGTAGGGTTGTGATTTCCAGTATGGGCGTTGTGCCATTGGAATTAATGGCACCCGCCCACAGGTGCCACATTCCTTTGTGTGGGTGGTGCTGCTAGAGGTATTTGTGCTGGTCCCACAGTGGCACCACCTGCACAGGTGTGAACCTAGCCTTACTAAAGTGTCACAAAATGACACTTCATTCAACTCCGGGCACTGCATAGCTTTGCTATAACAAGTAGTGCTGCATAAAAATGCAAAGATGATCCATTATTATCAGTCCAGTTGTTTTCTATGTGCCCTTGTATGGAGCCTGTGCAGATCCACAGGTTAGGTGGTGTGAATTTAGGTGGTTTTATCCTAAAGCCCCATGCACATAAGAATATCAGACTAATTATTAATTTTTTTTTTTGCATGTTAATCTTGTATCAAAAGTGAAGAGGGTTACTAAAGTTACTATAATTCTTGTGCCACGGAATAAAAATGTGGAAGTGATGTCATGTATTTGTATTGAATTTTCAGACAAAAACTGTACAAAAATTGCACGATCTGGTATCATACCATTTTCATGCTTGTCCCTTCAATCAAGCTGTGTACTAATTATTATTATACAGGATTTATATAGAGCCAACAGTTTGCTCAGCAACTTTACAATATAATGGGAGACCATACAGCAACAATACAGTTCAATACAAGAGGGTTAGGAGGGCCCTGCACCTTGGAGTTTACAATCTAAGAGATGACCAGATTATGGTACGAAAGCGGTATTTTGTGTACATCTTTCTGACCGCGTGTACTAGGCTTTAGAGCCTACTTAAAAAAAATATCAGGTTTGAGCAGACTGACCTGTTAAGGCAATCAAGCCCTGCATACTTGCACCTGTTCTCCAGGTCTTTCCAGAAGGCAATTTTGTTTAATTACAACTGCTCCTAGGCATTGCAACCTGTCACGAGTGTTAATGGCTTTTACATCCAGGTGTGCACAGCAGGTGATGTCAGCTCTATGGGCTCCTATAATGACACACTATATATTGAGGGATCTGGAAGGGCTGGCCCTTTAGCTGGTCAGCAATGGGTGTAGATGCAAGTTAAAAGTAGTGTACATTGTGTTGCAGATAGGGGATATAAGACTGCTTGTATTGTTCAACTAACAGGTAATTGGATGCTATAGAGTAATAGATGGTGGTATAGTTTAGAGTACTTGTATGTTCTTCTACAACACTCAGATTTGCAGGCATGTTTGCTGCCCAATCAATAATCAGAAAAGCCTGCAGCTTCTTCTCAAAGATGGGTTTTCATTTGTTAGCTATATATCTTTCACTTTGTATCCTCCACTGTTCAGCTTTTTTTTTTTTTTTTTTTTCTAGAATGTTTGACTTGTTTGTGTTAAACCTTTCAATTCTATGGTCTTGTCATGTTTGCTTGTTTAACCACTTGCCTATAGGGCACTTATGCAGGTCATAGACGGTTCATTTATCAACTGATTTTTTTTTTTTTTCTTTTTTTGTCCGAAAGAATAATCGGACGATTTTCGCACATTTAGTGGGGCAATGTTATCTGCCCATTTTTGCAATTTCTCATTTCTTTTATCGGTCATGCTGGAAAATTTGCGAAAAACAGCCAATTTTCGCAATCATTGGTGGCAACAGAACGACCGATGTTCTGTTTTTTAGCCCAAAATATTGGCCGATAAACTAACCATCTATGGCCTGCATTATACCCCCTTCCTGCCCATGCCAACTTTCAGCTTTCAGTGCTGTTGCACTTTGAATGACCATTGCAGTCAGGTAACACTGTACTCCATCAAATTTTTTTTTTTTTTTTTTTTGCAGAGCTTTCCTTTGGTAGTATTTAATCACCTCGGGGTTTTTTATTTTTTGCTAATCAAAACAAAAATAACTAAAAAAATTTTGAAAGGAAAAAAATAAGTTTTTTTTTTTTTTTTTTTTTTGTGTTATAAAATTTTGTAAAGTGATTTTTCTTTCACTGATGTGCGCTAATGAGGCTGAAGTGATGGGCGCTGATGTGGCATTGATGGGCACTGGCAGGTGGCACTGATGGGGCTACACTGATCATCAGTGCCCTGATGATCAGTGTAGATGTCCCCTCTGAGTAATGCCGATTACTGGCTCTCCTCACAAGCTGTCAGTGTGACCGCTCATAAGGATAGGAATGCCGATAACCATGCATTTCCTTATTTACATGCGATGAACTGTAACATCATCAGTTCTTTCCTTTGATCGGTGATTCGCTGTGTCCCAGTGACACGGCGCACCACCGATCGCCATGCTGCATGAACACGCGTGGTGAGAGTGGGAGGACGTCATATGGCGTCCTCCCAGAAAGAGAACCGCATTGTGCCCGTCATTTCCTTATATGGCGGGAGGCGGTTAAATATTTCATGCCTTTTTGAGGACCTTTAGCCTGGGTTCACACTGATGCGATGCGGCACATCGCATGTGATTCGCACAGGAACCGCACCACATTCCTGTGCAAATCACATGTGCTTTGTGTGCGATGCAATTTGAGCCATACATTTTGTATGTATCAAACTGCACCAGAGTACAGGACCCCTTAGTCCGCATCGGATCTTCTGCACATTGCACTGCATTTTCCAAATTGATTTCGGGGTGTCCGTATGAACGGGGTGTGATTATGATGCAGTCCAGAAATCGCACAGAAGCCGAAATAACGCATCAGTGTGAACCCAGGCTCAGCGCTGGTTTACTTTGGTGTGACTTGTCATGCAATTTTGACTGTTACAAATTGCATGGTAAGTTGCTCCTTAATATCGGCAATGAAATTGTTCAAATTTTGAAAGCGGTTCCTGCACTATTTTTGGTAGTTTTTGTGCATGAAATTGCACAGATGTCACAAGTTGCACCTGGAATCTCATTGACCTGTGGTTTTGAAATCGTTGTACTTCAAGTGAAGTAGCGTGATTTCAGAGTCGTGTTCAGTGTGTGAACTAGGGCTAAGACCTCTTGCACTGATGTACTTATATTTATGCCCATGTGAGAGCCATGTGTGCCTGCACAGGTCAACTGCGTTGCAATGGATACAGCTGCTCCCAATTTGACAGCTGTACAAGTATGGGTGCTCCTACGCGGCTGGTAAATTGGGGGCAGCGGCTGTGTAGTCATTGTATGCCATTCATGTGAATGGGATGGTCACCACAGGGATACACGGCACATCTGTGCATCCCCGTGTGGGCAAACTCTTCCCTTGCGTGAACATACATTTTAAGTATACCATTGTAAGCAAGGCCTTATAGAAGGAGCCTAAGAACAATCAGCCTATGTAAATGGAACAAAAAATAATCCTGATTTTGCGATTACTTCAACTTGTCCACTGAGTCTGCCCCATTTATTATTTTAGATCAATTTATCCCAAGCCTGTTTAAAGCCACTTGCTGTTGACACTCCCTGCCTCTACTGGAGTTGACATTCTGCTCCATTCACAAAGCCAGTGCATGAAGGATCCCGATTTAGAAAGTTATTTTCAACTGAAAGTAATGAGATTTGGAAAAGCTTGAATTAAGCCTGCTCTGTGTTGTATACCCACTTATAAACTGCATTTTTAATTCAGCTAGATGACCTTATTCACACGCTGGATTACCCTCAACATGCAGAAACCCATTGTTTGCAATTGTCTATTCACCTTTCAATGCTTAGTCACTTGTAGCTCATTGCCCTATGCTACTAGTACATAAACCTTTTTTTTTTTTTTTTTTTTTTTTGAACATTAGCTTCAATAGGAGTACCTGTAAATGTGCACTGCATGTCTTACACTTAAAATGTTCCTCTTTACCCAGGTGAGGCAACAAGAGGCTGTGGCTTGATACACATGTTAACTGTTTTATACAACGTGCAAAATGCTGTAGTAAATACATGCATTTACATATTTTAAAAGTGAAAAAAGCTTAATTGTAAGCAATATGCAGGTGTGAATGTGTTAGTATGTAATTGCTTCTGTAGTTCGTTTTTTTTTTTTTTTTTTTTTTTTTTTGAATTGCTGCCTGATTTTAAGAAACCAGATTGGCAAAGGTCAGTAAAGATTCAAAGCTGAACCGTGGGGAAAAAAAAACTACCCTTGCTGTGAAATTCACCTTTTTATAATGAAAATAAAAAAAAAAAAAAGGCATTATGGATTCATTATTAAATGTTTTTCTACTCTTAGGTTGTAAACTAAAAGGAACAGGGCCCTCCTAACCCTCTTATATTGTTGCTGTATTGTCTCCTGTTATATTGTAAAGCGCTGAGAACTGTTGGTGCTATATAAATCCTGTAGAATATTAATATTTAGTACACAGCTTCATCGAAGGGACAAGCATGAAAATGGTATGATACCAGATTGCGTGATTTTTGTACAGTTTTCATCTGAAAATACAATACAAATACTGTTGGCGCTATATAAATCCTGTATAATTTTATTGGATGATTTGTTAATCACTGTATATGTAACACTGTTGAACACGGTTTCTAAAATTTCTTGAGTCTTAGTGGAACACATTTGAACATCTGCATCAGGTTAATTTAGTGGCTTGAATTTTATATTATATGTAGCCATAGCACGGTTCATATATTTTTTTTTTTTTAATGTACCTTTATTGCTTGTTTTTGTCTAGGGTACTATTAACATGCAGTCTTGCATAGCCTTCCCTTCCCTGACAGCTGGTGCTCTACTCTTCAGTGCTCTGAGTTGCGGGCAGACCCTCAGTAAAATTATTTAATGGCAACCAAGGCAAAAACTAGCATTTATCCCTTCTGGGGGCAGAAGTCACAATAAAGCACAGGTTCCTTGGGTTTAGAGACTGGGGAATGTTGGAACCCCCTTAAGTGTGCGCTGCTGTCAGGCGCACTGTTGGAGAGATGTCTCTCACTTCCTGTCTTGACAGCGTTCTAATGGTAAAGTTCAGCACTCCACTGCAAAACAGCCAAATAAAAATGCTTTTCTTTAACAAATTAGGATAACGCTAGATCTAAGATTTTTGTGCTCATGTAGACTTTCACGCTTGTAAATTTGTCAGCAGGACAGGAAGTGTAAATCTCTCTACATAGCCACAGATGGCAGTAAAACAAGATAGTTTTCATCTTTCTTTACTCCATTTAAAACTGTGTTTTGGCTTGACCTAAACTTGAGTTTCTAGGTTTTTTTGGAAGGTGAGAATAG